CTTTCCTATCTTTTTTTAAAGTGAGGGGGGGAAAAGAATGGAAGAGAGCCAAGCTGCAGCTGGGCTGTGCCTCTGGGGGCAGGTCCCAGGGCACAGATAGAGGGCTCAGCCACGGAGCAAGGATCTTCCTTTAATTTGCTGCCACGGGGTGTAGGAAGAGCTTCAGTGACTGTTGCCTTTCACAAACCCTGGGCATGGGAACACGCTGGTGAAGAAACCAAACTGCAGAGAGTTGGGAAAGTCAACTTATGAACCAGTGCAGGGCTGGCACTGCCTGCGAGCCCCCGTGGCTGCGCTGCCTGCAAAGCAGCCCCAGCTAAAAGCTGGTCCTTGTCCCAAAGTGCTTACGATGGGAGCACAAGGCAGATGAGAGAGAAGCAGGCAGAGGGTGAAGGCAGGGGAACAATGAGGCAGTGTTAGCAGCAAGGCCGTGGGTGCAGGACACCATTTGGGGCATGATTCTCGTTGACATCAAGTGATTTCATGTGACTGAGTCACTCCAGGGCTGCTGGAACGAGCCAGGGAGCAGCTTCCATGTGTCTCCCTTCTCTGCTTCACCCCCAAAATCTCTGCCCTGTGACACAGCCCAGCCCTCTCCCTCCCTGCACTGCCATTTCTGTACAGCCTTATCCCTCCTTCCCAGGTCACACAGTACAATTAAGCACCAGCCTGCTGAAGGGGTTGCTCAGAGCACAGTGACTGAGGCAGGACATGAGCTGGCTCAGGGCAGGCTGGGCTCTGTGCTCAGCACCAGACCAGCAGGATCCAGCCCCCTGACTCCAGCAAGAGGATTTGGGGACAGGGTGTTCTCCTTTCAAGTGCTGGGAGCAAAGTCTCCTCTGGGTGAGGACACAGAGGGCAGGTGGCTCTTCCACCCAGCCAGGGTGTCCCCAGAGGCAGGAGATGAAGCAAACACGGGGCAATCACTGTTTGCTCAGGAGCCTTCCAGGGTGGCTGGTCTAGGAGCCAGGCACTGGGTATTTTAAAGCAGCCATGGGCAGGGGGCTGCATCCCACGGGACAGAAAGCTAATCCCTGCTTGGAGGAGCTTAGGAGCAGCCCTGCCTGCTAGGGAGACAGATGGGCAGGGAGCAGGGTGGAAGAAGGACCAGCTGGAGCAGAGGGATAAGCAGCACTGGCAGCCCAGGAGCAGCTCTTGGCAGCACCTTCAGCTCACTGGGGTGCACATTTGGGAGGGCAGGGGGGGAACAGGAGGCTGCACCGGGCTGGGGGGATCCTGCCTGATTTCAAAAGCTTTTGTTAACCAAAGAGGGAAATAAAAGCCAGGTCAACATCCTTGTCAGAGTTCCAAGGAAAGAGGTGCCTGTGCAGGTGGGATCAGCCCAGAGAGCACAAGGACCAGGGGCTGCACAAACAGCTCCATGATTTGTTTGTTTGGGGTTTGGAGTTGGTTTTTATTTGAGAACTCTTGGAAGACAAGAGCCTGCAAAAGGGACTGGAAATCACAGCTCCACCTACTAACGTGTCTCACGGCATCAGGAAATGCCTCGGAGCTCCCTTATCTGTCGATTAACTATTCAAATGCTTTAAACTTAGAAGAAAAGCAGGGAATTACCCATCCCTTTGCAGCCACTTTGTGCCACTGGCTTTCCACCCTGCCCCTCCGTGCCCTGCAAGCTGGGGTGCAGTGCACAGGGAGGAGCTGGGCCCCCAAAACCTCTCCAGAGCTGGAGACTCGGGGCTGGCACCCAAAAGCAGTCACTCCCTGCATGAAGAGCTTTCAATCGATGATGCCTTTTCCACATAATAACAAGAACACATGGTCTTCTTCCTCCTCTCCCCGGACTCACATCCTGTGTACTTCTGGCTTTGTGCTTTTAAATAAAAATGCTGGGGAGGAAGCATCGTTTCTGGAGGGAGGAGGAAGAAGAATGGAGAGTAAAGGAGAAGGAACAACAATCTCCCAACCAGATTTGTTGTGTTGCAAAGAAGAACTGCTTCAAACCCCTGTGTGCCCCTCCCCAGGCAGCTGGATGCACCCCAGGCCCGTGGGCAGGGGGGATGTGCAGCTGGACATGGAGCAGATCCTCAGACCCTTGCAGGTAACTCCTCTCTCTGTCCCTCCCAGGGCTGCTGTCCCCCCGCCCGCAGAGGCTCCGTAGCCCGGCAGGAGGTGCAGGATGGGAAGCACCACTGGATTTCTCTGCACATCCCTGGCTGGCCTCACCATCCTGGGTAAGCACAGCCCCTCGTCTCACCAGGATGGAGGATCCCACAGGAGTCACCCCTCTGTGCTCTTCTCTGTGTCTGTGCAGCCTCTCCCTGCACCCCGGCAGGAACAGCTGACACACAGGTCTCTCCTTTTCTCAGCTCAAGCTCAGGTGAAAGGCAGGAGATGCAAGATCCTCAGGCAGAGCCTTGGCAGGAGCTGTGTCCCCCTGCAGCCCCCACTGCCCAGGCCTGGCCTGGCCTTGGCACAAGGAGGAATTTCCTCCTGCCAGTGGGAATTGCTCATGGCCAAGTCACTTCACCTCCCAAGCTTTCTGGGGATCCCTTTTTGGCCCTACCCTGGCTGCAAAGATTCCCCCATTCATCAGGGACCACTTCTGGATCTCAGGGAGCTGCACTCTGAAGGTCCCTTTTCAGCAGGGAGACATTTCATTTCAAGCAACTGAGAATTAGATAATGTCTTCAAGCTAATTCATCATCCCAGGCAGGGACTGCTCTCCTGTCCTTATAAATATCTAATTACCTTTTAATGTTCTCTTGATCCCCGAGGAGGCAGAGGGAGGGGTGGCTGCCCTAGATTGGGAGGCAATTAGCCTGTTTGGAAATTGGTCTGACCCAAATCTGGGAGAAGCAGTGAGATGGAGTTGGGTTCTCCCATTAACCAGCTGAGTTCATGCAACTTGCTCCCCTGTCCAAGCTGAGCCCACAAAAAAATTACTCACTGTAAAGCCTGTGAGGGTTATTTTCTCCTGACCTTTGGCTGGTGATGCAATGGATCTCAGGAGCCAGCTGGGACAGAGAGAAACCCTCACTGGGAACACGAGTGAGGGACCAGGGGCAAAATAATGGCAGCTTAGAAGAAGCTCAAAGAAACACTTTGGAGCTGGTGAAGAGCCACAGCCTCCAGCTCTGGGCTGTCAGCCCCAGCCCTGGGACACTGGGCTGGTAATGCCACCCTCTGCTGTGTCACCAAGAGGATGAATTCCCAGCAATACATAAAGGTTTAGGAAGCACACAGCCTAGTGAGCAAGGCTGTCAGGAAAGTAAAAACCTCTCTGGTCTTTCTTCATTCAGTAAAAGCCATGGAAAAACTTGAAATGTAAGGCCAGCCAAAGCACCCTCCCTTTGTTCCTCAGAAAGCTGCTCGTTAAAAATAACCCTCTGTTCCTCAGAGAGCTGCTCTTTAAAAATAACCACTTTGATTTTGTGCACATGTGTGTGTGTGTTCAGCTTCCCTACAAAACCAATTAACTGCCCAGCTCCCTCATGTGCTGAGGCTTCAGGCTGTGGTCAGAGCTGCTCCATGAGGGGATTGCTGCTGCTGTCCTCAGGAGCTGGAACACAGCTTGGAAAATATCCAACTGAGACATCATTTCCTGATCTCCAAAAGCTCTCGTGGAGCTGAGCACAAAGGGACAGCCTCCTGGACACCTGGGCTTTCCAGGTCTGATTTTCAGCATATTCCAAAATACTACTAATAATACCAACCCACCCAGGCAGGAACAAGCCCGTGTCCCTGCACGAGGGAGTCACCTCCCTGCTCACTGCAGTGGCAAAGGAGATCAGGTTTGAGCTCTGTCTATTCCAGCAATATCTGATATCAAGTTTGGGTTGTCTTTATACGCACAGAGACTGCCCTGTCCTTGCTGGTGTATTTCATGAGTTGGTATTTTTCTCTCCCAAACAACAGCACAAGTCACTCCTGGGATGCCCTGCACAGGGACAGGAGTTGGACACGATGGGTCCTTTCCAACTCAGCATCTTCTATGATTCTATGAAATCTTCAAGCAGTTCTGGAGCTATTTTTCCAAATCTTAATATCCAGATCTTCCACTCTCACCTATTCCTATTTAATTTGGTGTTAATATTTCTTTTTCCTAATACTGAATGTTGTTCTAGAGAGGCACAGCAGCATCTTCACCATAATTTCTGCTCTCCTAGCTGGATTTTAACACAGAAAGTAGGGCTCCATAAGGCAGGCCCAGTTCTGAGCAGCTCACTCTGCTTCTTGCAGGCTTGGAGACCTTTCTTTTGTATTTGTCTTCTCCCCACTACCCAAATGATGGAGCCCAAGGAAGGCACCTGTTCTGGGGACATTAAAAATGAGAGTCCTGGGGTGACAGAAGCAGCCCAGATGATCAGTCTCAGGGGTACTGAGATTTACAGCCCTGCTTTGCCCTCAATTCTTAGTTCTAACCATATCCTGAGCTCTATCTAACCATATCCTGTAACTCTAATTATCACTTCCATCTACCAGTTGTTTTGCTTAATGAGTGAGATCCAGGCATTTCACCCCCAACACCAACCAGACACCTTGGAACTGCAGACAAAAACTCGTCATAACTTTTGTCATTGATTACATTTGAGAAAATCAATGCCTGGCAGTTCAGTCCATAACCTTGGCAGAGAAAAAGGGACAGCAGCAGATAGCAACGGGGTGCAGACTCTGTGTGGAATCAGAAAGGATGATTAGCCTAATTTGGCTTGATTGAGACAGAGCATCCCATGAGAACAAGCATGGGAGTGTTCATTAGATATATTTTTATATATTATTTGTTAAATAGACATAATTTTTTTACCATATGCTATCAACTAATCTCAAAATGTAAAGCTGTTAAACCTTAACCCATTCCTTACCACCTATCAGAAGACAATGAATGCAAAACTTATTAATTCTCTATAAACTCATTATTATTCTACCTGCTGGTCGGTAGAGTCACATTCAGCACATCCACTGCTGACCCAACTGAGAGTAGGTTTACCAGCTCCCACAAGCTGGAATATCACTATTCCAAAAGGAAAAAGGCATCTTCAGTGATTCAGAGGGAACACAACCCTCCAAATGCTGCTTTTCCCTTCCTCGGAAGGGCTGCAGCCCCTGTCCCCGGGCCGGCAGGGAGCACACACCCCTGCAGCAGCACCTCCCCAGGGCCGGGGTAATTGGCTGGGGCTGGGACACAAGGAGCAGCCAACAGCTGCTCTGAACCCTCCGAGCCAATTAGGGGACCCCCCCCTGCCTCCCCATCAGCTCCACACTCCAGAGCAGCCGGAACATGAGACAAACCCCAGGAGCTACAGGTAAAGGGGCTGCCCCCCCCCGGGGCCAGCAGAGCTGAGCTGGCCATTCCCTGCTGGAAGTTGCTCTTGCATAAAACATCACACTTACTGGAGTCCCTTAATTTAAGTAGTGACCCTGCTGTGTACTGCAGGGAAGGAAGCAGATTGCTGGCTGGCATGGCAGTTTTAAGACAGTTATTAATTCAATTACAAAGCATGGAAGGATCCTGGGGCTCACTGAGCATCACAGAGCTTGGGGCTGCAGAGAGGCCTGTGCTGGGCAGCACTGCCTGGAGGTGCCTCCAGCCCTGCTGGGGGACAGACATTTCACAGGGTGCCAGGGAGAGAACAGGCTTGCTGGCCATCATTATCCCACCAGGCACTTCTGCAGCCAAGAGACTTCCAGGCAGCTTCTGCTTTTTCCATTTCATAAAGCCTGGGTGGAAGAGGGTCTGCTAGACTTGTCATTTACCAGACACAGTCACTCACTGCAGAGAGCTGGCACTTCCCAGGGAAGTATCACCATGCCAAAGGGTGGCCCAGGCACAGCAAAGGAGAAGGCAGGTTCTTACATTCCTCCTGTGCTTCTGCCTGAGCCACACACATGACAGCAAGATCAGAATCAAACATGATTGATTGATTGATTGATTGATCAAAGAAGACCGTAGCCTGAACACTGCAGGGGAAGCTTCAAGCTCATCCTGTTAGTTCAAAAGCAGAACTGGTACCTGCAGCACTGGGCTGCACACCAGCAAGGAGCAGGTCTGAGTTGTGCAGACCCAGGGATGGAGGGAGGGGACCTGCCAGGAGGCTGCAGCAGAGCTGAGAACATCCTTTGAAGATTCAGGTTCTCCTCCCTCCTCCCTTGCCCTGGAGAGGACTTAGGAGGAACCAACCAGCCAAAGTTTGTATAGACAGAGGAGGTACCAGCACATCCTCACTGCCAGGGACAAGGAGGGCATCCAAGGGTTCCCAGCTCCAGTCTCATCCCTGCACAGCTTTCCAAGAGGTGTGTGTCAGTGTCCCTTCACCTGCACATCCCTGAGCATGTCTGGTCCTTCTGGCACAGCAGAGATGATGCAAAATGCTTGGTGGGAAACACACACTGTCTGCTCCAAGCCACTGGGGCTGGGCTGTGCTGACAGATGGGCTGTGATTTTCACATTGCTCCTTCTTTTATTCTTGAGGCAGTTCTGACACTGCCAGGGACACCTCACAACACTGCACGTGGGAATTTTTAGAAGAAGCTAAACTGAGCTGAGCAGGTTTTCCCTCTCTTGCAGTTTGGTGCCAAGCACAGAGTAGCACCAGGAATTATGGGCCAGTGTTTGAAGAGCAGCCTGTCCACACCCTCTTCCCTGAAGGCTCAGAAGAAGAGAAGGTCACCATGGCTTGCAGAGCAAGAGCCAGTCCTCCTGCCACCTACAGGTGAGCCCACCTGCTCTCTCTGCACTGGGACAAAACCAATCAGAATCTGGCTTTCTGTTCACAACTTTTTACCTAAAGAAAATCAGGATCATGGGAATCAGCCTCTTCATCTCCCCGAGCCACCCCTCCCAGGTCACAGATCCAACTGTGACTCAAATCCCAACACACCAGAGCTGGAACAACAAACTCCTGCCACCACCAGGAGCGCTGCGCTGGGTATTTACCCCTCTCACTCTTTACACTTGCTCTTGGCAGGTGGAAGATGAATGGCACAGAGATAAAGATGGAGCCAGATTCCCGTTACAGGCTGGTTGCAGGTGACCTAGTGATAAGCAACCCAGTGAAAGCCAAGGATGCTGGATCCTACCAGTGCGTGGCATCCAATTCCAGGGGCACAGTGGTCAGCAGGGAAGCCTCCCTCCGCTTTGGCTGTAAGTTTGTCTCCACAAGGTAAATGAGAAGCAGCCACAGTTATGCTGGGGGTAAATAGACCCCCTCTGCTCACATTTGTCATGGTAGGAGAGAAGTTCTCCAGTACCTGGTACCCAAATCACCACCTGGAGAAATCCCCTTCTAATAACACAGAGGCATGGTAGAAATGTGACACACCACAGAGAAAGTCAGTCATATTTTTGGATCTCCTTCTGCAAAACCACTAAAAAGACCAGCCTGAGGCAGGGGAGATAAAATACAGTAAATCCTCCAGCAGCTTTTTTTCTCATCCACAGGCAGGTTTCACTTTGCATGTTTAGTTTTGCAGGAATTCTCTGCAGAAGAGCGAGACCCCGTGAAGATCACGGAAGGCTGGGGAGTGATGTTTGCCTGCAGCCCTCCTCCCCATTACCCAGGTAAGGGCTTGCACTGCAGCACCACAGCAGGAGAGATGCACCAGAACAAGGGGTTCCCTGACATCTGAAGCACCCCTTGCTTTTCTTTGGGAACTTTAAGGAAGCAAATGTGGTTTTAATTCAGACTCTCTAAAGCAACACAGCAGAGGTAGGACTTAGCGTGTGGAGAAAACAAGTACCAACTTGGACCAACTTCAGCTGGTCTAGAAAGGGGCTTGCTGGGTTCAGACCCACCTGGGGAGGTCACGGGGTTTAGTCCCACCCGGGAGGCCACAAGCAACTTGCCCCTTTTCCTTTCTCCCCCAGGCTTGTCCTATCGATGGCTCCTGAATGAGTTTCCCAATTTCATCCCGGCCGACGGGAGGCGTTTTGTCTCTCAGACCACAGGAAACCTTTACATTGCCAAGACAGAGGCTTCTGACCTGGGCAACTATTCCTGCTTTGCCACCAGCCACATCGACTTCATCACCAAGAGCGTTTTCAGCAAGTTCTCCCGGCTCAGCCTGGCTGCAGAGGGTCAGTGCTCTTGGATTAGCAGGAGGAGACTGGATAAAATGCAAAATTAGCAAACCACCACAAAGCACTTGGGCTCCACGGGACTCCAGCAGTGCACAAATCACCCACCAGCCTCTCAGGGGAGCTTAAGAGCTTACAAAAATATTGATTGACCTGAGGGAAGCAGCTCTCTCTCCAGGTTTCATTGCTTGTGCAGCTGCAAACCCCATCCATGGGGTTTCTCTGTAAGAGAGGCAGAAGGTGCAGCCTGTGCACATCCCTGAATCTATTCTCTGCCTTTGGTGACCCTGCAGATAAAGGTGCAGAAAAACATCCTTTGGGCAGGGTGAAGGGGCTTCAGCAGGCAGGAAATTAAAGAGAAGCAGTCCTGAGATGTTGTAAAGGGGTTTTTAGACCTTTAATAAGAGCTGTTTTAAGAGGAAAATAAAAAGTAGGCTCTGCCAACTGTAAATTATCCAAACCCATGGAGGTTTTGCAGCCCTGCGGGTACCTCTGCCCTTTAAGACCTCACGTGGACCTGTTTAAAGTCACCCAGAAGCCCTCAACAGTGCTTTCCTTTCCACAGATGCCAGGCAGTATGCACCCAGCATCAAAGCCAGGTTTCCTGCAGACACCTACGCTCTGGCTGGGCAGATGGTGACTCTGGAGTGTTTTGCCTTTGGAAAGTGAGTGCAGTGTCTGTGTCACTCAGGCTGGGGATGGGGAGGGCACAGCAGAACCTGCAGCTTTCACAGCCCCTCTCTTCAGCAGGTCTGCTGCAGACCAGAGGTGGAGGGGGAATGGGAAGAGGGAAAAACTGGCTAAAACCACCTGTCCTGCTGGCCAGGGCCCAGCTGGGATGGGACCTGGGCTGGGTGGGACTGAGTTACACCACGTGGAAACGCAGCACGGGGTACCCAAGAGCTGCCCCTTCATCTGATGTCTTCCTTCTACACAGCCCTGTTCCTCGAATAAAGTGGAGGAAACTGGATGGCTCTCAGTCCTCCAAGTGGATCGGCAGCGAGCCCCTCCTGCAGATCCAGGAGGTTGGCTTTGAGGATGAAGGCACTTACGAGTGTGAGGCTGAAAACATCAAAGGGCGAGACACCTACCAGGGCCGCATCATCATCCAAGGTAACAGGGTGGAACGTGGGCCTTTCCAGAGCACAGCAAGGTGCCCCAGGACCTGACTGAGCCCTGGGGAGTGAAACCACGACCTCTGATCCTGCCTCCCATCAGCCCCAATTAAAGCTATTTCAAAGCCCTAACAAAGACCTGCAGAGATCACTGGTGCCTTCCTCAGTGGTCACACTTAGGCTACAGCAAGTAGAGAGGCACCTCCTGACTTGCTCTAGTAATGCTAGCAAAAATTAGGAAACCAGGGGAGGAAGCATAGTGGTAAAAAATCAGACTTGGCTCTCAACCAAGATCCTCTCCACACCTGCAGTACTTCCATAAGAGTTAATGCTTGGAGCTATTAATCAGATCTAGTCAAATTACAAACCTTATCCTGGTTATCTTAGTCTGAATCCAGCCTTCCCTGAGGTGCAGCAATGACTGCATTTACCCTTCAGGAGAGAAACCATCATGCTTCGCCTCAGAGCTGGATTCTGCTGGGATTCTGTGCAGCCCCCATGCCCATCTGCAGCCAGACCCAGGGAGGACTCAGCCTTGCATGGCTGCACAAAAGGCAAAGGCTGTTACTATGGCAGAACCTGCTGTGAGAAACCAGTCTGCCAGCAGAGATGACACAATGAGCATCCTTCTGCCTGCCTGGCACACCAAACCTCTCATCTGATCTCCCTGGCTCTGCCACCTCTTTCC